AGCCGCAGTTCTTTTTTCTGAAGAATGGTCGTTGGACTAGGAGATCTGAGGCTGCATCATTCAATTCAGGAGAACAGGGGTAGGAACCTGAAGAGGCAGAACATGGGCAGAGGGGAGAATTAAGAAGAAGTTTTAAAGTTGTCCAGATCAGTTTCTGGTGCAACTTTTGTCTTTTCCATTCAACATAAAGGTACAAGCCACAACAGGCAATTTCTGCAGTTTGCTTTTAACAGTTTGAATGTTGCCAAAGAAACAATATCAAAGAGCAAGGGCCATACAGTATGAAGAGATGACTGATGGAAAAGCTGAGAAAGGGGACGATAATTAAACTGGAATAAATAATTTTGTTCAAAGGAAAGAGGTGAAGATCTGTTGTGATAATTTTCAACAGGTCACATTGAATCTGAAGCAAATGAACAGGTCACACTGGTGTCAGCACAAACCTCCTCCTAATCGCATCCTCCCACCTCCGCACACCCCATTCTATTCTCCCTCAAGTGTGTATCAAACCTCCCCTTAAGAGTATCTGTTTCAGCCATTCCATTTGACAGCAAATTCTTCCACTTAAACAAGTCCATCAAAGAATAGTTATTTAATTTGTCATTGATGTTTATCACATTTATTCCCCCAATATTCTGATCTCACAAACAAACGGAAACAGTTTTGCTCCATCTGCCCTAAGGAACATCTTTATACTTTAAAGATCTTTATTTGGTTTTATTTTAATCTCCTTGTTTTGCATAAAAGCCATAACCTGCTCAATCCTTCCTAATCATTGTATCGTCTGAATTCCACTAACGTTTTGCCTTTTCTGTCACATAGACACTAGAACTGCACATAGTACTCCAAGCTTAGTTTAACCAAGGTTCTTTATAAAAGTAATGCCACCTCCTAACTTTCGTATTCTATTATTATAGAAATTAACCCATAACTTCGGTTGCAGTCTTAATGTCTTTGAGTTGTTACATTTAGTGGTTGACATTTCTGTTATGGCTGTTCCATACATTTAGTCATGTTCATTTTTCTCCAAGTTCCACATTTTGTTAATGATGCTATGAATATTGCCATACAGGGATTATGCAGAGTGGTGCTAATTTTCTACTGTAATAAAAGATTAGTGGAAAAGCTGTCTTTTACAGGTCTCAGGAGTGGAAGGAGTAGAGTTTTGTGGAGGTATAATCCCTAACTTCCGTGAAAGTTTGCAGCAAGAGCATGTAAGAAAGAATCTCAATGAATATCCAGAGCCAGCCACCTCTCTTTGTGAGCAGCCCAAAAAACTGATTAGGTCACAAGGAGTCATTTTGGTCACCACTGTTAGCACTTGGAAGCAGCGAAATTCTGCAGACACCTTCAAATGGATTATTTCATTGCATGATGCTGCACTCCAGATTCAACTTTCGGAGTTTGCGAGAACACGTTGAACGCGATGGACAGATGTTTGGGATGTGTGTTTTACCCACAGCATTGATACCAGAAATATCACATAATCCCAATGACTTAAACGCACTCTTTTGTTAAATCCCTTCTGTGGCGCACTTGAAAAAGGAAATGCAAAAGCCCCATTCCTCAATCATTGCCAAGACTTTATGTGAACAGCTAATTGGTGATGCACAAGAGGAATTTGACCACCTCTGATCTCAGCAACACTGCTCTTCACCTTCACCATTCACCACCAACCCCCAGCCCCACCCTTTCCTCCTAGCTTCTGTGTTCCCTTGACTTTCACAATAAAAGCCCAAAGTTAGAAAATTGTTCGTGCAGGGAATTTTCAGGGGTCATATGCATATCCCAAGCATCATTGCAACATTTTTGTGGCAATGAACCAGAAAGGATTTGGCTGTGTCTTTAGTATCTTGTATATTTGGGCAGTGCTAACTATTGTTTTATAAATGAATATATATTTCATTATTATAAGTTACTGTGAACACTGTGGTGTAGGGAAATGAGGGGAACGGTGGTGGGATGACAACTGGCAGGGTAAAGATCTGCACATGACAGCTCAGCTTTAATATATTACCTGTGTTTCTGGCGTGCATCAGACGTGGTGAGTTTTGCAAGGCTTTATCGACATCATCTGAAGTCAAATGAGGAAGTGGTGCTGCAAAATAGGAAATGATTTGATTCAACAGTCACCAAAACATTAAAAAGTGACAGTTACAAAGGAAGATCCTTGTGCCAACGATTAAAAAAGAAAGTTCTGATCTATGGAAGAATTGGCTCAACAGTTACTCTGTGATACCAATGGTGGCACTCATGCCTCTGTGACAGAAGGCTGCAAGTTCAAGTCCCTCTCTATGACTTGAGAACAGAAAAATCAAAGCTAACATTTCAGTGCAATACTGAGGGAGTGCTGCACTGTAAGAGGTGCTGCCATTATGGTGAGAATTTAAATCAGAGCCCTGTCAATCATCTCAGGTAGGCAGTAAAAATCCTAAGATGCCATTTTGGATTTGAGTAAGGTTGTTATTTCTGTTCAATACTTCTCACTCACTCAAGATTGCAAAAGCAAATTATCTTGTCATGGTCACGTTGCTATTTGTGGGAATTTGTGTGCAAATTGGCTGCTGAATTTCCTGGATTACAATGTTTCGAAATTACTTTATTGGTTGTAAAGTGCTTCAGGACGTCCTGCGATCACAGAAGTTGCGATGGAAATGCAAATTTCTCTTTTATGTTTCTCTGAAGCAATGATGTTCAATTTGTTGTCACTGCTGAATCAACGATGCCTTTTGCAAAGTCTTAGTTCTACATGGTCAAGAATTGCTGATTAGCCCTTGGTGAGGATTTAAAAGTAATTCACCTCTTTTTAAATAGTGCAGCCTAACTGAAGGGCCCAGGTCTTTCCAGTAGAAACCACCAGGACTGAGAATAATCAAATAAGTACCAAATGTAAACCAGAGGAAATAATTAGGCAGCACCAAGGCTTGAGGCTCTATCTTATGCTTTCTTTGGGCAAGTGCGTGTGTGTTGAGGTTTTTGGAGGAATTTTCTCCATAAGACCTATCCGGTTTTCTCACCCTATCTCACCAAACTCATCTATTGGCTACCTACCCCGTCCCTACAGCATGCCTCACATCCGATTCCTGCCATATTTTAGCATGCGCCATTCCTGGAACAACTCATTCACTGCTGTGAATTAAGCAACATCTTATGCACCCATACCATCTTTAAAATGCAATGGAGCAGCCGGATAAACACTGTCAGTTCGGAGCCACCGTACACAGTTCCTGACATTTGCCTTGGACATGGAAGACAGGGGGAGGTCGGAGCCCCATTGTGCAGGCAGGAACCTGAACTTCCTACTGAGAGGGTACCGCAGATGCAGGACTTCCTTATCCTGCAGGACAAGTTAATAAAATCATGAGGGGCATGGATAGGGTGAATAGTCAAGGCCTTTTCCCCAGGGTAGGTAAGTCCAAAACGAGAGGGCAGAGTGAGAGGGTTAAGATTTAAAAGGGACCTAAGGGGCAACTATTTCAGGTGCGTGTATGGAATAAGATGCAAGAGGAAGTGGTGGAGGCTGGTACAATTACAACATATAAAAGGCACCTGGATGGGTACATGAACGGGAAGGGTTTAAAGGGATATGGGTCAAATGCCGGCAAATGGGACTAGATCTATTTAGGATATCTGGTCGGTATGGACGAGTTGGACTGAAGGGTCTGTTTCTGTGCTGTATATCTTATGACTCTATGACCAACAGAGGAGGCTACAACACAAGTCACAACTCTGCTACTGGGGTAGCATGCTGGAAATGAAGCTCCATTATTCCCAGTAATCACAAAAATTAAAAACTTTATCAAAGAACATAAGGTTCCCAAAATATCTAACAAATATACCCAAGTTAACAGAAAACACAGACCAGATTTCTGTATTTAACAAAAACTGCTATTTATTACAAAAAAATTCTAAACACAGATAAACTATGAACTGTTGACATATAACTCTACTTGTTAAACTCCAAGGCCCTTCCAAACTGTATCCATCACCCAGCTACCAGACTGTTTTACACAGAGAGACAAAAAGACATTGCTGTTATGGGTAAATATGGAAAGATACGGGGGACACAGTTCAATGGCTCCAATCCACACGGTTCACTGAGATGATTCTTTTGATTGTCAGGGCTATTTTTTTTTTCCAATGACTTTTTTTCCCCAGGCTCTTTTTACATTTTTGCAGGATTCTCAGTTACTGGTTAAAGGCTACAGCTCACAGCTACTAGTGAGGGAAAATAAACTCGCTGCCTTAAGCTTCAAGTACTTTACCACAGAGAAAGACTCAACATCTACCTTTTTCAGCGGTCTGAAGGCTTTTGCTGATATTGTGCACAACCACAAGCTGTACAGCTACCCAGGAACCAATCAGAGAGTTGTTGTCCACTCCACAAACAAATCAGCAACCTGTTTCCAGTCAAATCTCACTTTGTCCACACAGTCCAGTGCCCACCCACCTACAAACAGCCTTCCCCACTGTTTAAACAAACTAGCTGCATTAACACGACTTAAAACAAGTTTCAGTGAAGTAAAAGGTAAGTTACTTTTAAAAGCTCCTTCCACAAGCTGTAGTTTTCAAATAGTCCATTTGCTATTTCAGCTCCAAATCAGAAATACAGAATAATAAAACATTTGGATTTGGCTTTACAAAAAAAGCCTACTGGATTCAAAGATACTGCGGTATTGTCCCTACCTTTGAAGCAGGAGGTCTGGGTTCACCTCCCGCCTGCTCCAGAGATTTATAGTAATATCTCTGAGCTAAAGAACATAATTAGAAAATATCAAACCACTGGTTCTTCTCCATCAGGGATTGACTTATGGACAGCAAAGGCATCCAGAAGGGAAGGTGGAAAGTGATGTTATGCAAAAGCTTAGATTTACAATAAACCTTTGTAACGCTCAAAGATAGATAGATAACGAAATAAAGATACAGTCTTTACACACTAGGCCATATAAAGCTGGGCCAAGGTTGCTCCCTGAATTAAAGCCAGTCTCAGCTGTTTGGAGGAATGCCCAGAATTGTAGGAAGAAGGTCAATCCCTTTCTCCATTCAGCCAACAAAGATGTCCCATCTTCTCTCTGATACCTCACACCCACTCTCTCTTTGGCACTGTACCTACTTCCCAGCAAAGCTCATGTTCTATCACTCTCACTTTCTCCTGCAACATCTTCCCTCACTCGCTCTCACCCATCCTAACTCCCGACACCTTGAACTCTGCATATTCCCTGTGCTGTCCACTCCATCCCTTGGAACACGTCCCCACCTGCACCAAAAGTAACAGCTGTGCCTCCCACTTACATCGTCCATAACACCAATCTCTCCATCTCTCATTCCAGGATGACAAGACCTCACAACACGGCAGAAAGATTCAAGACGGGTGGTGGGTTGCCTGACATTTCAAGTGGGGACCATCCCAACCATGACCATTCTGAGTGGCTGGCTGACTGTGTCCAAGCCTCTAGATAGGTATCATTGGCTGCCTTTAACTTACTGGACAGGGACCCTCTGCTATCTTCCTTGACATGACTGAGGCCTGCAGACAATCATGGGAAGTTTCCTGCATTTGTGTCTATGCTAGACAGCAAAGCAAGACAACAGTAAAATGAGCCTAGTGTCTCTGGCAGAGGGGGTAAAGCACAAAATGGCAAAGCAATGCAATGCAAGGCCGCATTACTGTGAGTACCCTGGTAGAGTCAAAGTGAGTGAGTCCTATGACTCCAAGAAAAGAGCCTGGAGCTGCTGCGGAGTCCAGCCCCAGACTTGGGCACATGTCCAAGAATGCACAGTATCCTTGCTGTAGGATTAGAATGATAGTTGCCAGCGTAGCCTGAGATAGAATCGTAGAAACTAGGAGGAGAAATGGGCCATTCAGCCCTTTGAGCCAAGATGCGACATTGAAGGTCAGCCTTGTAAGTAGATTGGAGATATGCCATGAGGGTTCTTAGAGGCTGGTGTTTATCAGATGCCAATGTAAGTGGAAGTAATTTGTAAGTGGCTGGGTGACCAAGGAGCGCACCCTGAAATGTTGGTGCTTGATGTCCAACATGGAGGTCCTTCAGAGCAAGAGGACTGTTGAATTCTCCCAATACCTATTCTGATTTCCATGTCATGTTTTCTCAACGTTTAACTTGGTTAGTGTGGTCAGTAAGATAGAAAGCCAAATATTAATGAGAGGTGTTGGGCTGTTAACAAGGTGAATAAGAAGCGATAATCCTTTTAACTGACAATTTGCCACTGCTTTAAAAGAAAATCGGTATCCTGCTTTTCGACAGTATAAAAGATTGAGCAAGGCCTCAGTTGATATATGCCTCACAAGACTTCACATCTGATTCCATCATTATATTCAACATAGTCTACATCACAATGAGATTTTTAGGTTTTAAAGAGATGCATGGGACTTATAGGTGATGCAGGAAGGTTTGTATTAGAACATAGAACATAGAACAGTACAGCGCAGTACAGGCCCTTCAGCCCACGATGTTGTGCTGAACTTTTACCCTAAACCTAAGGTCTATCTAACCTCCACCCCTACGTTATACTATCATCCATATGCCTATCTAATAGCCGCTTAAATGCCCCTAATGAGGTCAACTCCACTACCGTCTCTGGCAATGCATTCCATGACCCTACCACTCTCTGAGTAAAGAACCTACCTCTGATGTCTCCCCTGTATCTACCTCCACTTGCTTTAAAACTATGCCCCTTCGTAATAGCTACCTCCACCCTAGGAAAATGTCTCTGGCTATCCACTCTATCTATACCTCTGATCATTTTGTACACCTCTAACAAGTCACCTCTCATCCTTCATCATTCTAAAGAGAAAAGCCCTAGCTCTCTCAACCTTTCCTCATAAGACCTTCCTTCCATTCCAGGCAACATCCTGGTAAATCTCCTCTGCACCTTTTCCAACGCTTCCACATCTTTCTTGTAATGAGGCAACCAGAACTGGACACAATACTCCACATGTGGCTGAACCAGGCTTTTGTATAGCTGGAGCATAACTTGACAGCTCTTGAACTCAATCCCTCTATTAATGAAAGCTAACACACCATACACCTTCTTAATAACTCTATCCACCTGGGTGGCAGCTTTCAGGGAACTGTG